TGTTTTACAATATTCCATTAGGTCCATTTCATACAAAAAGACCAAAAAAACCCTCAAAAAAACACGCGCCCCTCTCTCTCTCTCTTTGAATCTAATAACCATCTATCTTCCCCTCTCTATTCTTGCGCAAGAAATCACGCACAGTACCTTTACAGTCCAGAAATCCAAAACCATATTCCACATCGCCTCAACGCCCAGAAGACTGTATTCCTTCCATCGTTGCATCGTTGCATCGTCTCATCATCTTCTCCGTCATCCCTACGCCGAGAAGACTGTCTTCGTTCCACCGCCACATCGTCTCATCATCTTCTTCGTCGTTCGTACGCCCAGAAAACTGTATACGTTCCTTCGTCGCATCGTCCCTTCGTCTCAACATCTTTGTCGTCGAAATGGGCAAAAAACGTAAACATTCTACTCATTCGTGTATTTAAACCGTAAACCTCTTTATCAACAACCAACATTGTGAACTTTTACAAATATCCCCTTTTCCTATGCATACAATATATAGGAGTCCATATTGTTCATACCCTAACATGTATTCTGAACCCCTCAATCGTAATCCCTAATTTTATTGATTTTTGCAGTAAAAAACATTACAGTTGCTATTACATTGTGTTCACAACTATCAACATTCGAAAATGTTTTGGTTGTAGTTGTTGTTATTGAAAGCTGTGAATATTCGCATTGATTGAAAATGGTTTGATAATCAAATTATTCCAGATGTTATTCGGTTGTTGTTCAATGCTGTGAACATTCACATGGTTTCAAAAATGTTTTAGCCAATTCTTTTTTGTTGCTGTTGATAACAGATGTGAACATTCACATTGAGTTAAAATGTTTGAGTAATCAGGTATTAATGGTGTTGTTGTTGTATGCTGTGAAAATTCACATGCATTGACACTCTTTGGCCAATTCTGTTGTTGTTCTTGTTGTTGAAAGATGTGAACATTCACATTGCCTGAAAATTGTAGGACAATCAGATATTATTGGTTTATTTTGTTCTAGGCTGTGAACATTCGCATTGCCTAAAAATTTTAGGAGATTCAGATATTATTGGTACTGTTGTTCTATGCTGTCAACATTCACAATGCCTGAAAATTTTAGGAGAGTCAGATATTATTGGTGTTGTTGTTCTAGGCCGTGAACATTCACATTGCCTGAAAGTTTTAGTTCAATCAGATATTATTGGTGCTTTTGCTCTAGGCTGTGAACATTCACATTGCCTGAAAATTTTAGGTGAGTCAAATATTATTGGTACTGTTGTTCTATGCTGTCAACATTCACATTGCCTGGAAATTTTGGGATAGTCAGATATTGTTGGTGCTGTAGTTCTAGGCTGTGAACGTTCACATTACCTGAAAATTTTAGGAGAGTCAGATATTATTGGTGCTGTTGTTCTATGCTGTGAACATTCACATTGCCTGAAAATTTTAGGACAATCAGATATTATTGGTACTGTTCTTATATGTTGTGAACATTCACACTGCCTGAAAATTTTAGGACAATCAGATATTATTGGTGTTGTTGTTCTATGCTGTGAACATTCACATGGATTGAAAAATATTGGGCCAATGAATAGGGATATTTAGATTCTTTTCCCCCTATTGCGAATGTTTGCCTTGTTGGTATTGTTGATTATTAATGGTGATCTAATAAGTTGATCCATCATTTTATATGTTTGTGTTAACATCCACATGTTCTTCAATGGTGTTCATGGTTGTATAAAAATGCATTGTTTTCCATACACTGACACAATATGTACATTGTGTTTGTGCTGACACAGTCAAATACACATTCATGTACATATGTGAATGTTCACAACCACACACAAACTCTGGTGATTCACACCCACGCACACAACTGTGAACATGCACATCAGTGGAAATGCTGTGAATGTTCACATCTGTTCCACTGTGCTAATCACATGAGCCTTCACTTAATTTTTTTTAAATGCTCCATTTTGCAGATGTTGCACAAAACAAAACCGCAAAGCGAAAAAGAGATGAGTACCATGTGAAGGAAGAAACCCCACAAACAAATACTTGCACCAATGTCGACATGCGCCATGTGAACTACAGATCTAATATGACCGGACTGGTCAAATTAATGAAAACCACCAAGTTCACACAAGCACAGCTTCGGTGCCTTCAACAAACACCTTTTTGGAATTTGTTTGATGCATTGAGAAACAATCAGATCGACCTTGACAAATGCATGAAGTATGATGATGTTGTTGTGCATGTACTACAAATGTACCAAGCTTCAGAAGATGCCTTCTACATTGGGGAGAAGAAGATGAAAATACACAACAGCGACATCAAGCTGATTTTTGGTGTGGACTGTGGCAGCAAGCCGATGGACATATCATATGGTGCGAAACCAAAGACTAGCATTGTAAACAAAAGATGCAAAAACGTCAGCCGGTTGACTTCAAAATGGATACGCACCCTTTTGACCGAGGCATTGAAAGGCAAAAAAAGAGATGACAACGAAGAAGTTGCCCGACTAGTGTGCATGTATGCTTGCCAAAAGCTTTTTTTCTCAACAAGCGGAGAGACAATAGGATGGGGCTACTACGCACATATGGTCCCATTGGAAAGCATGCAAGAATATGATTGGACCAAGCAAATTAGGACAATGTTGACATCGTCTATTTTCCAAAATGACAAAAATCCAGCAAAAGTCACCGGCTGTGTCATGTTATTGATGGTAAGTACCCATGTTTTCAAATAATAACATTCACATGTCCTCCAGTGTTATTCATCTAAGCCAACTGTGAACATTACCACTGATGTGAATGTCCATAGGCAATTATATTTCACAGATGTGAATGTTCACATCTGAATCAAGCTGATTTTTGGTGTGGACTGTGGCAGCAAGCCGATGGACATATCATATGGTGCGAAACCAAAGACTAGCATTGTAAACAAAAGATGCAAAAACGTCAGCCGGTTGACTTCAAAATGGATACGCACCCTTTTGACCGAGGCATTGAAAGGCAAAAAGAAATATAACAACGAAGAAGTTGCCCGACTAGTGTGCATGTATGCTTGCCAGAAGCTTTTTTTCTCAACAAGCGGAGAGACAATAGGATGGGGCTACTACGCACATATGGTCCCATTGGAAAGCATGCAAGAATATGATTGGACCAAGCAAATTAGGACAATGTTGACATCGTCTATTTTCCAAAATGACAAAAATCCAGCAAAAGTCACCGGCTGTGTCATGTTATTGATGGTAAGTACCTATGTTGTCAAATGATAACATTCACATGTCCTCCAGTGTTGTTCATCTATGCCAACTGTGAACATTGACATCTGTACCCCTGATGTGAATGTCCATAGGCAATTATATTTCACAGATGTGAATGTTCACATCTGAATCACTGATGCGAATGTCCACATTCATTCATAATATACTACTGTGAATGTTTACAACACTGCTCCATAGGCAATTATGTTTCACTAATGTGAATGTTCACATCTGAAGCACTGATGTGAATGATCACATTCACTCATAACATACTACTATGCATGTTCACAACAGTGCCACATCACTTATGTTTCACAGATGTGAATGTTCACATCTGAATCACTGATGTGAATGATGACATTCACTCATAACATACTACTGTGAATGTTCACAACAGTGCCACATCACTTACGTTTCACAGATGTGAACGTTCACATCTGAACCACTGATGTGAATGTTCACATTCAATGATAATGTACTACTGGGATGTTCACAACAATGCCACTGTGATTAATATTCACATAGGTTGCCATTACTATGCAAATGCTAAATAACAATATGTGTTTCTTGTTTTATTGAAGTACTGGTTGTGTGAGCACAGAACCATCCTACAACCTCACAGACCCAATGCTTTTCCTCGCTGTGTGAAGTGGGATCTGACTGCTTTACAGAAGAAGATGAAAACCACCTCTTTAGCTGATTCGGGTTTTAATGAGGTAGGGCCTTCAACTACTGATCAAAACATTCACATTATAACACCACCCAAATATATACGTTAAGTAACATATTTTTTACATTTTCAGGTTAATGCCGGTGAACTCTTTGCAATCCCAACAGAATTACAAAAGTTCAAGCGTAAAACATTGAAGGTGGAGCCTGAAATTTATGAACCAGCCAGAACATCTCCCAACCTTTCTGACATCAAGGGAGAACAACACAATGGCAGCAACTCCCACTTTTCTGGGGATGGGGTGGAACTGAAGGACAGTAATGAGGGCATTCACATTCCATTTTGCAGCTAACATTATGACAGAGCTATTGTAATACTAAACACAAACCAACCTGATATCATTGATGTGCTTATCCAAGAAAATTGGAAGGCTTGGGGCGTCATAAGGCAATGGGAAGCAAAGTACAAACACCTTCAATTTTCATGGGAGTTAAGGGCAAGAGTCATAGCTGATCTTGAACATAAATTGTTTAACCAGTCCAGCCCGCCCAATGTGAATATCGAAATAAAGAAGTGCATGGAGCAGAAGGATAAAGAAATCAAACGCTTAACACAGCTAGTCATCGACTTAGAATGCGATAAAACAATTCTTCAGGATCTTTACGATGACCAGTCAGTCCACATTGTCACATAGGCTGTGGCAGAAAAGCAACCCCCTAGCCCAATGCAACACAATATCAGCCCACCTTCTAGGGTCAAGCGTATAAAGGAAAAAGATCGCAAAGAACATCGCTTGCCTAACTTTCAGTATCCAGACTTACCTGGCCAAAAGCAGCCCCATCCAGTCGAAATGGTTGAAGATGTGGAGAAACACCCATCAGCGAAGCAGCCAAAAAAATTATCCTTGACCAACAAATTCAAAGTCTGGACCAAGATGTCCAAACAAGACAAACAAAAGGTCCAAGCTTTACAAAAAAATGGAGGCGATGAGTAAGTGACTGTACAAACATCCAATGTTAACATTCACATTCCGTAATAGTCTATATTCATCACCGTGTTCAATTTTTTTGGTTTGTTCAGATCTGTGCAATGTAAATATTTACATTGGTTTGTTCATAATGCACAGGCTGCTGGTGTGGAAAGGAGATTCAAAGGCTACACAAGTGTATTTTGATGACATTGTCAACCTTATCAAGGAGGAATCAATACACAGCAATGTATGCCATTACAAACATAATTCACTCTTCATGCATATGCACACACAAACACACACACACTCACAGCCACAAAATCTATATAATATGACCCCATGTTTGTGCAGCTCATAGATGCATATGCTGAACTGTTGCATGAACAACAAGAGGTGGTCAACCCAACTTCGGATGAAGCCTCATTGATCTTCACGAGCATGTGTTTGGTAAAATCTATCATTCCATTATTTGTAATGTGAATGTGAAACTTCACAGTCCATTAATTATTTGTCAAATGTGTACAGAAAGTGATACGAGAGTACCATCCTTGCAAAAGAGGTAAACACATTGATGCACATGTCAAAAACTACCAAGGAGAGAGATACCTATTATTCCCATTGCATCATGAGTACCACTGGACGATAGTTGTGTATGATGCTAAAGACAATTTGTGGAGGCATTACAACTCATTGCGCCCAAGAACAAGCATACATGACCCGCATATCGACCAAGCACATGAAGTTGTAAGTGGCTATTTTTCAACACAAACATGACTTGTTCTCATGCATTAAATGACTGTACACACACATATGTTTGTTGGTGCCTAATTTGAAATTCCATACACAGAGGAAGTACAATGAGCATATTGTGAGTGTTATTGGCGAGTCATCACCATTGTACACTAAGTTAGCAGGCCAAAATCCAGCACAACCAACCAAAAGTGTTGATGTCTGTCCTCAGCAAGGCGACGACTCGTAAGCCTCATTACATTTTTTTCAAATCCTCCATAACCATTATGCAAATATTCATGTCAACTGCTAATCAAAACCATTTCGCATTTACAGAGTGGACTGCGGACCTGCAGTATGTTACATCATGCGGGCGCACATATATCATGAAGAAATTGTGGGTAGCCTCAATAGTTCAGAATGGTATGGACTACGAGATTTGTTAGTGCATAGTTTTTTGAATCATAAGAAATCAGAGCTTCATTGAAACCTATAGGTGGGGGTGTCCACCTACAAACTAACCAACAGTCGATTTGAATGTTAATATGGAATGCGTTGATATTTTGACACAACAACTGATTGTAAAACAGTGATACAACATCTGTTAATAGGAAAAAGCCAGCTGCGAATTTTGAACTACTTTTGGTGTTGTTATGTTTTACAGATGTGAATGTTCACAGTTGTACCACTAATGTGAATGTTCACATTCACTTACGATATCCATACTGCTGTGTTGTTATGAGTGTAATTTCTGCGAATGTTTGAACCTGACTGTTCTATAATACACATACTTTGTACAGGAGTGTACACTTGGTCTACATGACATAATTATGGATCACATACACATGTGTGAATATTCACATTTGTTCTTGCTCATAGCAGTTTTAAATGACATTCTTCTCCGCCAAATGTGAACATTCACTTATGATATTCATATGCACTAATGTTTACAGCTGTGACTATTCACAGTTGCAACACTGATGTGAATGTTCATACTCACTTATGATATTCATAATGCCGTGTTGTGATGAGCATAATTGATGCGATTTTTGGAACCAAATTTTTATGTAATACACATACCTTATGCAGGAATGTACACATTGTTTGCATGACATCATTACGGGTAACATGAACAGGTGTGAATATTCACATTTCTTTTCATTCATAACAGTTGTGCATGTTCACACCATGTCAATCTTCATGTATGTGAAAGTTCACATCACAACTTATAATCATGTCAACATTGACAACAATAAGGTAAAAAAGTTCAATCCATGTGCAAGTTTTCACATAATATGAGTCATTTACGTAAGTGTGAATGTCCACATCATGTATTTATCATTACAACTTTAACAAAATATCAGTTTCATACACAAAAAGAAAATGAAAAAGCACAAATGAAATACTAAGTTTGTCAAACCATTATTTTGCTTGCCAACACAACACAATCTTATTTCAAAAATGAATATAAGAATCCAATGTAAAACACAACGTTGAAATGAAAAATGTACATCGTATATCGACTCCTTGCATGACTTCCGATTATGGCTCCCCAGCTTATCACATCTCCCGCACCTTATTTGCTTCAGTTTCTCACCCCTTGATGGGATCCTATTCTTTTTCGGCCTTCCGGGTGGTCTTTTCACAGTTGGCGGGTATATAGTGAAGTCCATGGGATCAAAAGGCAGCTTCTCCACCGATGATATTGGGAATATGGCACCCAAATACGCTGCACGATATGTCTGTACATGAAAGTAATGTTCCACACAATCATTGAGATTGTAGCGGCTCTTCTGAATGGCAACAACAGCATGGTCACATGGGAATTCGTTGATTTGCCATTTGAAGCACGAACATGTACGCCTCGCAACGTCAACAATAACAGATGGTATCGAATGAACTTCAAACACATTCTCATTGGCTTTGCTAACTTGCCAAGACCTGCTGTCATTGAACGAATCCATAAGCCTTGTTTCGAATGTAGGACAAATAAGCTCATTCCATTTGTTTGCTTGGTCACGCCGTGCAGACATTTGTCGCATCAACTGAGTACGAATTGTGTCCACCATTTGAGTGATAGGAAGATTACGCGCTTCTTTAATCCAGTTATTAAATGACTCCGCCGCATTGGAAGTCATCTCTCCATAACACATGCCCTTGCACAATATCACAAACATTTTACAATACGAAAGTTAACAGGTCTGAACATTTACGTTGACTGATGTAAACATTAACATCATTCGCAGTGAACATTAACATCAACTTACACAATGCACAGATGTGAACACTAACATCAACTTAAATGACAGAATGATGTGAATGTTAAAAACAGCAAAATATGACAACAGATGTGAACATTCACATCATTCAAATCAGTTATCATTATCAGATGTGAACATTCACATCATTAACATTGAACATGAAACACAATTGGAAGATTTTTACAATTCTTAAATGAAAATTCACATCACTACCATTCTGACTTGACAAATGGAACACTTTATGAAACTATTATTACCTGAAGTATGAATTTGCCTAGTGCTCAGGTGTCAAGTCCTTGAAAAAATCATGTGCTCGTTGTTTACCCTCCTCTTTTAATTTTGCAAGCTTTTCATGGAACCCTACCACAGTTGGCTCATAAGCACAATCACCCAAACTACTTACTAGGTGATCCATGAAGCCATTATCAATTCCTTTCATCCGGTATCTTAAATTGCTCTTCAAGTGTTGTAAGCAATAACCGTGATGAGCCGATGGGAACACCTTCGGCATAGCTTCTAACAGGCCAAGATTATGATCCGAAATAAAAGTAATCTGGCGCTTACCATCAATAACCTTCCCAAGTTCATGCAAGAACCACGACCAATTCACCGTGGTCTCTGAATCAACAATCACAAATGTAACAGGAAACAGACCTACAACACAACACCAATACGCAACTGTTCACAATATTCCAAAATGAATAGAAAACAATATAAACGAAACAGGTCATGTGAATGTTTATATCTACATTGCCCTATTACTATTGTTATTTCTGGATTCAAGTTCATAAACAACAATGATGTGAACATTCACATTAACGACCATTAATAATTCATTTTTTATTGTTCAGCAATTGATAATGTGAACATTCACAGTACTGTTCATTAATGGATCAACTGACAGTAGTATACACTGATGTGAATGTGAATGTTCACATTACTGTCATTAGCAGGCACAGATGTATAATAATGTGAATGGATCAGTGTATAATAATGTGAATGTTCACATTACTGTCATTAGTAGACACAAATGTGAACTTTCACATCAGTGCATACTAATGTCAATGTTCACATTACTTATAATTTCTCAATCACTCATTTGTCCATACTATGCATGTCAATGTGAATATTGACATGAATATACAAGTAAAAAAAAATACTAACCATTGTTTCCGTCTTTCGCCGTTGCCGCAAGTAGCTGACCTTTGTACTTTCCTTTGAGGAATGTTCCATCCAAGAATAATAAAGGCCGACAAGAATTGAACCCAGAAATACACGCAGCGAATGACACAAAGAAACGACAAAACTGTTGACTACTCACATCATAGTAAATATTGACATAACTCCCCGGATTGTACCGAATCACAGCATCTGAATACCCCCGCAGCTGGTCAAACGATAATGAGTGATCTCCATGAATACCAGCCTTTGCTTTCTCTACAGCCAACCATACGACATGGTAACTCACATCTAGCCCATAATCCCTCTTCAAAATAGTCACAACATCACACGGCTGAGTCAACGGCTTGTCCCTCACAATTTCAGATATGGTACTCGACACCAAATCCGAACTAACTCGCAGATTCTTCGATGTTCGGACATCCGTACCACAAGTATGCACATCACTAAAACTCTTGATGTAGAAAAAATCATTTGCTCGTTGTGCTCTACAATGTATAGCCCACAAGCAGCCCCTCTCTTTCCGCATTACACACACAGCAATAACTCTTGTTGTCTTGTTCTTCACGTATGTAAACTGAAACCCACATTGGATGGCATACTTACATAAAACATCACGAAATTCTTGTGCACCTCTAACAAAACGTTGTCCCACATGCGTAATACCATTTGCCCAAGGGGCTGACAACAACACCTTCTCCTTATGGTGGCAAAATCTCGGTAGTGCATCAATTTCTTCCTCAACCCCCACACACACCAATCCCAAACTAGTTGACTGACCAATATCACTTTTCAACTCAACCACAACTTCTACATGTTGTACCCCCATTGATTTAGCAAGCAGTAACATGTTCTGAAATTCTTCCACATTGTCCAAATCACACTTACTAATCCCAGGTAGTTTACAGAACAATGAAATAGAACCAGCAGACAACTCATCCCATTTCTCACACAAACACTCCACCAAACAAGAATAACACATTGCGCGGGCAACATTTATTGCAGTTGTACTGCAACCATATGTACACACCAACAGCATAAAGGTATCCATCTCCTATAGAAACACAAAAACACAACAATGAACAGTAATAAAAATCAATATGAAAATTCACATTGTGCAAAAAATAGATGACTACGCGTACAGTTCAAGTGCTAAATCCATAATTCACAATACGAAGATTTGAACATTCACATTGATATTAACAACATGTCAAAATTAAGCAAACATCAAAGTAAAATGAGAAAATCAACAATCTTCACATAATATTAACAAGTTGTGAACATTTACATTGACACAGACACTCTGAATTATATGACACACACAGAGCCTCATTCAGCAAACATCAATTTTAAATGAGAACATCCACATTCTTCACATA